CTCCTCACACTGCTGGTGGGTTCCATTTTGTCATAGGGTGCTGGCAGATTACGGGCCTCCCATTGCTGCTGCCAGGCCCGTAATCTGCCATGGGCCCCCGTACCGCCTCCTCATGCTGCTGCCAGGTCCAGAGTGTCTCATGGGTCCCTGTACGGCCTCCCATTGCTGCTGTCTCCATCGCCACACTCTGCCATGTGCCACTTTCAGGTCTCCTCACACTGCTGGTGGGTTCCATTTTGTCATAGGGTGCTGGCAGATTACGGGCCTCCCATTGCTGCTGCCAGGCCCGTAATCTGCCATGGGCCCCCGTACCACCTCCTCATGCTGCTGCCAGGTCCAGAGTGTCTCATGGGTCCCTGTACGGCCTCCCATTGCTGCTGTCTCCATCGCCACACTCTGCCATGTGCCACTTTCAGGTCTCCTCACACTGCTGGTGGGTTCCATTTTGTCATAGGGTGCTGGCAGGTTACGGGCCTCCCATTGCTGCTGCCAGGCCCGTAATCTGTCATGGGCCCCTGTACCGCCTCCTCATGCTGCTGCCAGGTCCAGAGTGTGTCATGGGTCCCTGTACGGCCTCCTATTGCTGCTGTCTCCATCGCCACACTCTGCCATGTGCCACTTTCAGGTCTCCTCACACTGCTGGTGGGTTCCATTTTGTCATAGGGTGCTGGCAGATTACGGGCCTCCCATTGCTGCTGCCAGGCCCGTAATCTGCCATGGGCCCCCGTACCGCCTCCTCATGCTGCTGCCAGGTCCAGAGTGTCTCATGGGTCCCTGTACGGCCTCCTATTGCTGCTGTCTCCATCGCCACACTCTGCCATGTGCCACTTTCAGGTCTCCTCACACTGCTGGTGGGTTCCATTTTGTCATAGGGTGCTGGCAGATTACGGGCCTCCCATTGCTGCTGCCAGGCCCGTAATCTGCCATGGGCCCCCGTACCGACTCCTCATGCTGCTGCCAGGCCCGTAATCTGTCATGGGCCCCTGTACCGCCTCCTCATGCTGCTGCCAGGTCCAGAGTGTCTCATGGGTCCCTGTACGGCCTCCCATTGCTGCTGTCTCCATCGCCACACTCTGCCATGTGCCACTTTCAGGTCTCCTCACACTGCTGGTGGGTTCCATTTTGTCATAGGGTGCTGGCAGATTACGGGCCTCCCATTGCTGCTGCCAGGCCCGTAATCTGCCATGGGCCCCCGTACCGCCTCCTCATGCTGCTGCCAGGTCCAGAGTGTCTCATGGGTCCCTGTACGGCCTCCCATTGCTGCTGTCTCCATCGCCACACTCTGCCATGTGCCACTTTCAGGTCTCCTCACACTGCTGGTGGGTTCCATTTTGTCATAGGGTGCTGTATGGCCTCCCATTGCTGCTGCCTGCCAACCGCCACACTGTGGCTCCACACTCTGGTTTTGGCCCCGTGACTGCCCAAATGAGTGAAGTGTGCGGTGATTCTAAGATCGACGGCACTCATCTGCATGTCATACTGACTGACAGTATTATTTCTCTTCCCCAGCAGACTCCAAGGGCATTTAAATCAAAGGTACAGTGTTCTGCACTAATATAAAGGCTCTCTGAAGCCTAGAAACACCCTTTTTATAAGTTAAATTCGCAGCGAATATATTCGACTCGAATCGAATTTATTCCGCGAATTCGCCGAATCAGCCGAATCGAGTTTTTGAATACTTTGCTCATCTCTAATAAGAACCCCTTACCAAGAACAGATTTCCCTACCAGAAACAACAGACCCCACTCAAAAATAGATCCCCTCCAGCAATAATAGATCCCCTAGAAGCAAGCATCAACAGACCCTCCAGCACACCCCAACATCCCTTGCAAAATATATACATCCATTGGTGGAAGTGCTGTAGGTGCCGGAATTGCATTCCCCCATGTTCCAAAAAAGCTGAAAAAAAGCTGAAAAAAAGCCCTGTATGTTACACTCTGAAAATGGGTGTGACATGTTACTAAAGGTGAACTTATAATTTAAAGTGTAAGTGGACAATGATCTTCTACACCTTGTACACACTATGAAGGCTAAAAACTAAGGGAGGGAACAAGAAGAAGAAGGGAGGGGTCTAGATAAGGACTAAACCAACCAATGCAAACACATGTAAGTAGCCTGAATTGTACCAATTACAGACATTACATTAAAATTTGTAGTTATACTGGATTACCACTAGGTGTCAGCACAAAGGTCTTTATTCATTATAATGAAGTTCAATGTACAGTGATGGATGCATAATAAGTGTTCCAGAACAGAAGAACATACAGTTTGCCTTCAGAAAGACATGATATTTGTCACTGTTAACATCCAAGAATTTTATCCTTTTGAATTGTAAAGAATATATCAACCCAAATTTTCATATTCCCGATATGTGCCTGCTGTGCCATGTACTTGTATGAAGACATATCCTGTTCTTCATACTGTATTGCTTCCTTTGTGTGAAATCCCTGGTATTCCTACCAGTCCCTCTGCTTTCCTATTAAAAACTAACCACACTAGGTATGAGAGCCCAGCAAGGTCAGTTTTCTAGTTGTGCTGACAACTCAGCCTGCTCTGCTCAAATAATATAATCAGACCTCCCTGTGCTGACACCTTCCCCACCCCCCGCACAACCATTCAGTGGGAAGTTCAGAATGTTACCTTTTTCTCCTTCCCTAGCTCGCCAAGATCCTTATGCAGCTGAGAACAGAGGTCACGTGATTACTTAAAATAAAGGGGAAAAATATATGTATAATGTTTTTTATATGTATACACAAATGTTTAGCCTTTCATTTCTATTTTAAACTGAATGGGTGGACATAATTCAATGGTACTTACAATGTAACAACTTTCATGAAAAAATCTAGCAAATAATATATCAATATATACAATTTCTGCACAAACCAATTTAATGTTGTTTAAAATTACTTTCAACCTGCAGTCACTGTAGTTTTCTACAAAATTCAATGCAATATGGCAACCTGGAGGGTGATCTACATACTGCTACTTTACAGAACGCCTCTGGAAATATAATTTCCTGCTTGTGTGAATGGCTGACTGTTTTTCTCCATTTTTTTCCATTGAAAAGTTTCCATTAGAGGTATTTAGTGAATAATGATGATTGGAGTGATTTTGGAGAAAAAAAATTATTTGGCTGCAAATTAACCAATTTTACCCTCAAGGAATTTTTGAAAGGAAAATTAATTTTGCTCAATGAGCTGCTTAGGTGAAATGTGCTTGAAAATAAAGACCCAATATACTTTTTTTTATCCATTTTTTAGAGAATGCTGTTTTGTGAGGTGATTTTAGGACAGTTTAGTTTATTTAATTTAGTGTTCTTTGTAATTGTGTGTTTTCCTTTGTATATACTGTTGCTTTACAGGTTTTATTTTAGTCTGCTGTCTGTTTTTTTTTTTTTTTTTTTGGTTCTGTAGAAAAATAAGGGTAACGAGGAGCTGTTTGTTGGCATAAAAATAGGCCAACATTAAAGAACCTTCTGTAAAGAGTGGAAAAAATATAGTTTTTTTTTTACATTCAACCCAGCAGGCTACACAGAAAAAAAAAAACTGAGGAGCTTGCCAGCAGCTTGCTGTACTAACTAACTATGCAATGTTAGTACAGCAATCTCCCCGCAGAGCTATTGTGTTCTGCCAGAACACACCAGTCAGCACCCACAGGCCTTGGCTGTGAGGTCTGATTGGATACTGGTTGACTGCTGGTTTTCCAGCATACCTATTCAACAGAAGCTGGATGTGAAAGGCAAAACATTTGTGTTTAGATATAAAAAAACATTCTGAAAATCCTTTTTCCTCCTTTTATACAAGTGATCACACACCCTCTGTTCTCTTCTGCTTAACAGTTGGTGGAGGAGAAGCAGCAGTATACTGATCAGTGAATGGCTATGCAGGGTGTGTCAGGAGAAGTCTGGTCATTGGAGGAGAGCACACTGAATTCCCAGCACAGCTAGAGAACTGACCACAGTGTGTTCTTCTGCTTGGTGTGGTCGGTGTTTAATAGGAGATCAGAGGAACTGGCAGGAACACCACGGAATTCCCCCCCCAAAAAAAACGCTATACAAAGAGAACAGGAAACTTTTTCATACAGGTACATGGTACAGCAGGCACATACCAGGAATATGAAATTTTAGGTTTACATATTCTTTAACAACCACCCATATTCTGAACCAACCCACTGAAATTTATAGCAATAGACCTTTAAATATTTCTAGCAAATTTGCATAAAAACAGGGATTTGTGGTTCACATACATTGCAATGCATGTACAAGCTGGCCAACTTCGTCAAAGTAATCCATCTCTGGCCAATCCCTACTCTACTCTGCAAAATGTAAAATAATTAAGTGCTTATAGCATATTTCACTGGATATAATGCCAATATTAGGCAGATAGATACAGTTGAACCAACACTGCAACTAATGCATTTAGCCAAAATGGCAAAATTTTGACAAAATATCCAGGTTTTCAGTTAAATATTTTAGAAGTGACAACTCTCAGGTGATGTACTATTCCAAGAACGGTTTCCAGTTTGACCAGTTTCAGATGGTCTTATATCTGCAGTTTTATATAAATCTGGTTTCTGATTTACAAACATATTGACAAAAAATATTTAGCTTTCTTTGCAGTTTGCATTTTCTGCATTGAAACTTATTTCCATTTATTTCGATCTTTTAAACTAGAGTGACCTTAACAATGCAGGCAAAACATAATATCATTCACATTATAGACTCCTTCTTTGAGTTGTTTATAATTTTATTTGCTTTCCTTTGGGAAATTCACTTATTCACTTAAAATTGTATTTGGATTCCCAAACAAGTCTACAGAATGCAAAACCTGCCTAAAGCAGTTCAAATGCAGTTAAGAAAGAGGTCAACTGCAGGTTAAATGTGCCTATCCATATATTCTGAAAGATCTCAGTAGCAAACTGATATTAACCACTTCCCCGCCGTCCTATAGCAGAAATACTGCTAGAGGGTGGCAGGGGTGTGCAAAATCACGTATATATACACGATTTTGCATTTCCAGGTAGGAGCGCGCGCACCCTACCCGTGCCTTCATTGGTGGCCTTGGCTGTCAATCACCAGGTCCTGGCCGATGATTCCCTACCGGCACTCAGTGATCACAGTGTATCACGGACAGGGGAGAGACCTGTATGTAAACAATACAGATCTCTTCCCTGTCAGCTCCTGCACTCTGCTTTGTATGGCTCTGCAGTGTAAAACACACAGCACATAGTGAAACAGCACACAGTTAACCTTTTAATCCCCCAGATGCTAACCCCTTCCTGCCCAGTGTCATTAGTACACTGTTGTGCTTTTTATTAGCACTGATCACTGTATTGGTGTCACTGACAGTTAGTCACTGACAGTTAGTCAGTTCCCCTCAGTGTCAGAATGTCCGCCTCAGTCTCGCAGTCCCACTGTAAGTCACTGATTACTGCCATTACTAGTATAAACAAAATTAGAAATAAAAATTCCAGTATATATACACACCATCATTTGTAGACGCTATAACTTTCATGTAAACAAATTAATTTACATGTATTGGGATTTTTTTTTTAGCAGACATGTAGCAGAATACATTTTGGCCTTAAATTTATAATGAATTGTAATTTCTTGAATTTTTTTACTGGACATGTTTAATAGCAGAAAGTAAAAAATATTGGGGTTTTTTTTCTCAAAATTGGTGGTCTTTTTTATTATAGCACAAAAAATTAAAAATACCACCAAAAAAAGGACATACATTTCATTTGAGTGCAGCGTTGCATGATCGCGCAATTCTCAGTTAAAGTAATGCAGCGCCGTATAATGGCCTGGTCAGTAAGGGGGATACATTCTCTGGAGGGCAAGTAGTTAAATTGATGACACCGACACAACCTCTAAAAATTAAAATCTGCACACTTACCATTTTTGCAGGAGTTTTTGGCTGGGTCAGATTAAGTCACAGGTCCTCTTTGCCCTCTTCTCTTGTGGAAAATAAAAAAGTGGAAAATATTGGATTTACTGGCAGGATCAACTGGTAAAACAACCATATACAAACTCTCCAATGACTTCTATGCCCAACAAAAATCACGTTAAATTACAATCTTAACAATGGATGTGGAAGTCTTTCAATTAACTGTCCACTACATTTGCATTCTCGTAGTTCTTTTTCAAAATTTTCAACAAGGGCTGGCAGTCTGCCTTTGACTTGGGAAGAGACACTAAATGCATACACAAAAACACCACAAACATGCAGTATCATCATGAAGTACATAGGTACTACTTTAATATAAGAATTAGAAACTACTTTTCCATCTATGTCATAGCTGTTCTGCCACGTTGCATGAAGTCCCACAAGGTCCTTCACTTCAAACCGGAGTACTACTTTGCTGCTTCCTTTCTCATACATGGTGCTTTGCAAGCCAATGGCATACTGTATTAGTCTGTTTTGGAGTGAAGGACCTTGTGGAACTTCATGAGATGTGGCAGGATGGTTATGAAATGGATTGATAAGTTGTTTATACTTTAGACTTTTGTTTTTAATCCTTATATTAAGGTAGGACTTTACAAGGTCAGTGTACCGTTTTTGATGTTTTGTGTGGGTAAAACAATTATGTTACGTTACAAGGACCAAGGCCTTCAAATCATTTGCCTCTCTCAAAGTGTGTACAGTTGGTCTTCAAGAGATGCCCTGTACCTCCCGCTCAACCGCCAAAATTTTTTAGCTCCTATTATCCTTAAGTCTATTTAGTATCCGCTCATGCTAAACACAGGGGTGTTCCTATAGCCCCCCATCTTAATTCTCCATTCACCCTTTGTACAGAATACAAAGACCTCAAAGGACTGTACTACATTTTAACCTGCTACTTCCATGACTCTGAGGTTTTACAGTGGTTTCCTATTATGCTCCTAATAAATACCCCACCGGCTTTCTCTCACACTTCCTTCAAGTAGTAGACACTCAACAAAGTGTGTTGCTCCTTTGTGGAGACTCCAGTCAAGTTATACAGTATATCCTTTAGATAAATTCCCTTTTTAAACTCCATTGCACCCTCTTTTGCCTTCAGAACTGCCCTAATTCTTCATGGCATAGATTCATCAAGGTGTTGGAAACATCCCTCAGAGATTTTGGACTATATTGACATGATAGCATTACACAGTTGCAGATTTGTCGGCTGCACATACATTATGTGAATTTCCCATTCCACCACATCCCAAATGGTGCTCTATTGGTTTGAGATCTGGTGACTGTGGAGGCCATTGGAGTACAGTGAACTCATTGTCATGTTCAAGAAACCAGTTTGAGATGATTTGAGCTTTGGACATGGCACATTATCCTGCTGGAAGTAGCCATCAGAAGATGGGTATGCTGTGGTCATAAAGGGATGGACATGGTCAGCAACAATACTCAGGTAGGCCATGATGTTTAAACGATGCTCAGTTGGTACCAAGGAGCCCAAAGTGTGCCAGGAAAATATCCCCCATATCATTACACCACCACCACCAGCCTGAACCATTGATACAAGGCAGGATGGATTCTTGCTTTAATGTTGTTTACACCAAATTCTAACCCTACCATCTGAATGTCAGAGCTGAAATTGAGACTCAGTCAAGGCAACATTTTTCCAGTCTTCTATTCAATTTTGGTGAGCCTGTGCGAATTGAAACCCTGTTTCCTGTTTCTTTCATTCGCCACAAGCGCTTTGATCTTTTATATATTTCCTATTCTTAGCTGACAGGAGTTGCACCCGGTGTGCTCTTCTGCTGCTGTAGCCCATCTGCTTCAAGATTCGATGTGTTGTGCATTCAGAAATGGTATTCTGCATACCTTGGTTGTAATGAGCGGTTATTTCAGTTACTGTTACCTTTTTATCATATCGAACCAGTCTTCTCATTCTCCTCTGGCATTTTCATCCACACAACTGATGCTCACTGGATATTTTCTTTTTCAGACCATTCTCTGTAAACCCTAGAGGTGGTTGTGCGTGAAATTCCCAGTAGATCAGCAGTTTTTTTAAGTACTCAGACCAGCCCATCTGCCACCAACAACCATGCTACGTTCAAAGTCTCTTAAATCTCCTTTCTTCCTCATTCTGATGCTTGGTTTGAACTTCAGCAATTTGTCTTCACTACGTCTAGATGCCTAAATGCATTGAGTTGCTGCCATGTGATTGGCTGATTAGCAATTTATGTTACCAAGCAATTGAACAGGCATACCTAATAAAGAGGCTGGTGAGTGTATTTGTGTCACAGTATGTCAGGGCAGGAAAGATGGAATGGGCAGGCAGGCCTATGGTACGGTCATGCCACGACTGACGACAGCCACTACCCACAGACCAGAGTCCCTCAGGGCGCGGAGTCTAAGCCCCAGGCTACCCTTCACCAGGGCCCCTAATGGTGGGGATGGACTTGACGCAGCCTGAGACCAGGTCGCGGCCCCCGCGTTACCCCAGCTGTGGTAACGACTTCCGCCAATGGCGTACAGCTGGTGGGAGCTAGATGGGAAGACGTGTAGCGTAGTCAGACAGGCCGGGTCAATAACAACGGAGCAGACAGTACTAGACGGTAAGCAAAGAATACTCAGGTCATGGGCTGGGTTCAGCAACGGGAGGTCAGGTAAAGGGTTAAAGCAACGAATAGTCTTGTCCAAGCCGAGTCGGTTACCAGGAGAGCAACGAGAACAGAACAAGAGCTTGCAACAAGGAAACATACAGGACACTAATGCAGAGAGCACTTGCAGACAGCAAATGTGCTCAACCACACCCTTCTGAGGAGGAGCCGCAGAAGCCTGAAGGCATAAAGGTTTCCACCATGCTTTGCAGAAACCCAAGGTGGATGCCAGCACATGGAGATGCACAAGCTCTGAAGAAAGGTAGGACCTTGACACAGTAGTGCTCCCCAGTCCTAGTTCTCAACATTTGTGTAGAAAAAACCAACATACTGCAAGTTACACAAAGTACATGTAATCAGATTACAAAACTGGTGCCACACTTAATGTACTGTCGTATTGAAAATTCCTCACCCGATGATGCTGAAGAAAAATAATTAACTGGCATACTAAGATGGCAATACCTGCAAGTTTTATTACTGCAAGGATAACTACCTGGATATGATAGCCAGGTGGGCTCGCATTTTCTAAAGGATGAAAGAAAAAGACTAAGATAAGCAAGCACCTAAAGTAGCTGCTCAGCAGCTAGAGAAACGACAACCTGTTTGAAGCACCATGTTACTGGTGCAGCTTCCTGCTTGTATACAATGTCTTTAGTTAATGTGCTATAAGGAAATGGCCGCTGGAAGCTCCGCCCAATACTCCTGATTGGTGCAGCTCCCGGCCTTTATAAGGAAGTGCGGTCAACCAATCACGATGTCCTGATGAAGTCACGAGGTCACGTGACGCAACGCGTCGACGGCACTAACGTGTGACGCACTTCTGGCGTGGCGCCATCTTTGTAGACCCAACAAGCGCTTTTCTTCATGCAGTACACCCGGCATATTGTATTCCATTTGGTTACAAGCTGTATACTGTGCTCATTGGATTCTACCTTGATACATACTGGACTTTATTCCATGCAAGCTATGCCCATGTGAGTGCATTTCTGGCTTATTTTATCTTTATGCCATTAAACAGTATTACACTATGGAGATTTTTTCTCTGTTATGTGAGCATATGATTTATGGTACCTATGGGAGTGCTAAGCTGCCTACAAACCGGTCCAGTGGAATGGTGAATAGTCATCACCTGTTGGCGTCAACCTAGTGATAGAGTGGCTACTCTGAGGATCTAGAGGAGCTTTCTTGCTTTGTGGTCCTGCAGGGTCATGAAGTGGAGGTGAGAGGCCATTCTAGCCATTCCGTTGGGGATCACATCAGGGGTGTTTTTGACATCCACAACGTGCATGAATGGGATGATCACCACACTTATTTATGGACTTATTAGTAACTTTATGTGTAAAGTGTGTTTCACATAGTGTGCTGTTCTGATCCCTATTAGGGATTCACATCATCTTTTTATTACTGTGCCCCATCAGGGATTTGGGGGTCACG